AATAAGTAAAACTTTGAAGTTTTTAGCCATACTTAGGCTTTCCCATGAAGGAAAGGCTCAAAGTGTTGTCCTTGCAAAATAACAATTTTTCTGTGTCTTGCCGCAGTTCATTTGTTATTCATTTTAAGTGCTCAGAAACAAAGGACATATTATCTTTGATCGTTTTCCAGAGATACACTCTTTCCCAGAATGATGGGCACGCATCCATGTTGTTGCTGCAGGATATCCAGTTAGTATTCTTCCACAGCACTCCTTTCGTTGTTTAGTCAGTTACTACTCAGAGCATCCTATTTTTCAGCACTGATGATGACTTTTCAGCTGTAGTTCAAGACTGCACTAATGTAGTGCATTGTCTTTTTGACAATGATTGTCATGGTGTCATCCTTTCCAAAAAAGGAAATAAACAGCGTTAACACATGGTTCAAGGGATAGGCAATCATTTGGATCTGATGAATCAAATTTGTGACTATATTAGATGGCCTCACAAAATGGCTCTCAGAAGCATAGCCAATGACAAAAACTCATTCCTCAAGCCAAACTACTAAGTTCCTCTTCCCGCTCTCTTAAAATGGTCTCTACGACCCATTTTCATGTTGTTTTCTGACTTTCTTCCAAAACTAGCAATCTGTTACCACAGACATTGACCATTTCTATTTTGTAAGGATGCCTGTGGAAAAAATGTGGAGCGCAGATACAACCTTGTAAGTTGAGCATGTCCTGTTTTTTTCAGACCAAGATCCAATTTTTTTTAAAAAAAATAATATGCTGGAATCTACGCAACATTGGCCATGACTACAACAAAACTCAACTTTCTTTAATTTACTGTAAATATGGAGTTGCATCAAAGTTTTCCAGGTGCTATATGTTACATTGTGCCTCAAATTTAGTGTATTTATTGTAAATAAAGATGTTAGTATGCTTGGCACTTCGCTGCATAGGCTGACATTTTTCTATTTATTTATTTTTTTCAATTGTTTCTTGATCAGACAGAATAAAAGGCCTGACAATTTCAAGAGAATTATTGTCATGTGCCATATTCCATCCCCATATTATTTTTCAATGCACACATTATTGTTAACAATATGTAACTTTGATGCACTGACCAGTCACTTAAATCTCAATATCTAGATTTTTTTTAGTATATTAATTCTATGTTATGTTTGTAAACTTCCAGAAACATCTGTCTGGAAGCTCTTGGAAGGAGAATGCTGCCCTAGATAGGCTCTAGGTCTGACCCAACAAGGCAGTTCTTTTGGTTATTATTGTGCTAGTGTTTTTAAACCTTGGAGTTAAAGTGATGCACTAAAGCTGAAATGTTGTGATAGCAGAGATCTATTACATTTAATGACAGTCTCTTTGATCTTTTATTTTACAAGTCTTCTCCCACAGCTTTTCTGTTTTTATTGGTTTAATTTGTAAACTGTATATGTGTGTATGTGTATACACAGGGATGGCAATACAAAGATACCTTAAGCATATGGTGTAACAAATAGTCAGAAATGATTAAATAAAACTGTAGAAGAATGGTACATGTTTTTCACAAGAGGGATAGAAAATTGTATTAAACGTGGCTGAAATGTTAAATACCTACATTATGTAGCATCTGAGTTCTCAGTGTTTTTGTTTGATTGTTGGCACTGCTTCTCCTCTAACCTGAGTTTGATTCTGAAAAATAATTTTTATGAAGTGTAGAAGCTTTCAGCTGAATAATTGAACATTCTTTGAATGAAAATGTGATTTTCAGGAGCTCTGCAGGAATTGTGAATGTGTTATCTTGATAAAAAGGAAAGAGCAGTTCCAAATATTCAAAAGTTATAGGCATCCATAGCATAAAAACAATAGGGAATGATTCACAATTTAGAGAAAGTTTCTGTCAATAAAGAAATTGGAAATTGCCTCAGGTCATCCATTTTCATATAATAATTCCAAGCAAATAAGAGTGAAAGTGGTAAAATGATTCTATTAAGCAGTGCTATAGAAAACAGAATTGAAGATGGGTCTTGCCAAGGTGGATTAGGGAGGAAAGAAGGCGTGGAGATAAGTTGTTTTCTCTGTATATCTCTAGGTTGGTTGGATAGATACATGTATTCAAATCTTGTACCTAAGAAAAGATAACAAGAGGTTCAGGCTATCCCAGAAACCCATACATTATCATTTTGTTAGCCTGCACTTGATTGAGTCAAAATCTTATATGCCACATACATTTTTTTAGGCATAGTGTGCTTTGGGGGTTGCAGTAAAACATATTCAAAAAGAGACAATTGGTGCCCAAATGAGCATGCTGTGTGTGCCTAGCCTGGAAAAAAAAGAGCAAGCTATGGATCAAGCTCTCTGAAGAGAGTTTTTATTGGCCAAACTCTAGGAAAGAAAATAGATTTTATTGGGTGGGTGGGGGAGGGAGGTGGTGGCTGAAATTTGTGTGCTCCTGAACTGCTGTCTCATTCCTTTAAGTCTCTTCCAATTAAAAGCGCTTTGGTCTGATGTCTTGCCAGTGCTGGGAATTGGTTGGGGAGGAGGAGTTGGAAAGCTAAAGCTGGGCTTGTCAACTTGTGAGTAAAAATAGGGTAGCAGATTGTGTGTGTGTGTGTGTGTGTGTGTGTGTGTGTGTGTGTGTGTGTCATAAGCATTTGTACTGCGTGTGTCTGTCTCATTCTTGGATTGTGTTCCTCCGTGCCCGCTCTCTCCCTCTTCTTTGTGTTTCCTTCACAGGCTCTGCCATGAATTTTCTCTGACCCCTTGGGGCCGTTCCCACTTGAAGCTTTGAAGTGTGTGCCCAGAGCTTGATTGACAAGGAAGTTTTAGTGGCGGCAACTGGAGAAACTGAAAAGGGCAGGGCTTTGAACTAAAGGGCTTTGAGCTCCGAGATGCTGCGCTTAGTTATCTCCTTCAGAATGTTAATTATTCATCACGATAATTGGGCAGGAGAGAAAAAAAGAGAGAAGAGGTTATTAAAAAATTCCAACACTAACACACTACAAAACCTCATTTTCCAATTCTGTGGCTGGCGTGAAAAGGATAGTGTATGCGCGAAGAAGCTGAGGGAAGGTTTTGTTGTTGTTGTTTTCCTTTAATCCATTCTCTAAATAGTAGGATCCCTTCAGATGAAGACAGCGGAAACATCAAAGCTTTTATAAGAGTTTTCTTGGAGTTTCTTAACTGTGTCTGGTACTTTTTTAATTAAAAAGTTTACGAAGAGCCGCCTTTGTGACTGGCTTCTGGTGACGTTAGCCAACCTTGTGTCCCACTGTCTGGGAGAGAAAAATATTTTAAAAAGTCTAATACTGTTTTGGCCACTATAATATCTGGTTGATGCTCTGGAGGATCAACCAGTGAATGGAGGACCCATTCACTGAAAGAGAGACGAATCTAGCTGCCATGCAGATACAATTCTATAGAATTCTTTAGAGCCTAATGTTGTTGTACAATATCTCATGGTGAAGTAATTACTAAAGTTCGTTATTTTCAATATCCATTGTTATACCTGGATTTTTCCAGTACCTAGATACCAGCAGAAATCATTTCAAAAGTAGCAGTGTTTTTATACCATTCTAGTAATTAGACAAGAGATCTGAAAATCCTTTCTTTATGAATGTTTTTAGCAGTTTGTTAGAAGTAAAAATCCTGCTTATATTCATTGCATTTTATTCTGCTGCCGATTTATGCAGTTTAGAAATAATTGTTTCACAGCTTGTTGAGGTTATTTTGGTGGTGATCTTGCTGCTCAGATATAGATTCAGATTATTTATAAGAAACTTAAACTGTTTTTATTTTAGAATCATTTTCACACACACATACATACACAACTTTCCCAAGGTAAACATTTTATGAAATTAATATCCTTAAAATTAATAATGAAAAATTCTTCCTCTTGTGTCTTGTCCCTTTTCTTGCATTTTACTCGGAAGATTTTGGCGAAGGTCTATCAAAAGCTGTAAAATCATGCATAATAGCTATATAGTAATAACTTTCTATGCATTTGTTAACTATATCATAATTTTGAATATAATAGGTTAGAGTTCTATACCCAACAGATCTACACAGGGAACTTCTCTGCTGCAGAAATAGCCAGTGAGGGTCATTGCCTAGTTACCAAGTTTAAAATCCCAAGTTTGTAATCTAGTGTATAGATCTGTCCTAAAAACTATTTTTACTGATACGGTAACATTAACAAGCTCTGCAGAGACATAGTATGTCAATGTATTTATGCTTTATTCAGATTGAAGATTAAATGCTATATAGTATATATATTTTACTGTAAACTACTAAGAGTCTTGCAACTGTGGTGTATATACATTTGTTAGATAATTAAAAGAAGAAAATGACTATTACAATTCTGAATATCTTGTCTAGTATGCTTAGATGGGTTCAATAGGAAACTGGCAAGAATAGTTGCCTCTAAGAATGGAATAAATACTGAGGGAGGTTCCTCTCACGTGTAACCTCCTCAACAATGTTAATATATCATTTTATTTATTTAAAGCATTTTTACCCTCATCTTTACTGAAAAGGCTCACAGAGCAATTTTCAAATGACAAACATAAACTAGTTCTTGGCCTCTAGTTTACAATGTACAAAATAGGTTGCACAAGAAAACAAATGATAGGAAAGAAGAACAAAAGAACATATAGATAAAGACCAGTTTTTCAAGACACAATTCTTAACGACAATCGGGGGTGGAAAAGAGTATTTTCCGCATACCACTCACAATGTTAATGTAAAAATTATTTTCAGGATCTGTAACTAAGAAATCTGTGAATGAATAAACATTTGGGTTATAATGTTGAATTATATTATGATCATGTATATTTAAAGGGTCTTTTGATTTTTGAATGGAGGTTTAATCTGGTATTTCTAAGAGATATAGATAGGGTCCCATTTCACATCTAGGATTAAGATTATTGCAATTTCATGAGAATGTATTCTTGCAAGACTAATAGAAGAAGAACAATTTCAGCAATTCTTCTGTTTATTCTTATCCTCTGATTTCTCTCCTATTGCAGGCTAACCTTTTCCCTGCTGCTATTGTATATTTTGGATCTGAAGTGCACAAGGGTGAGTAGTTGTGCCTCCATAGTACACGCTGCATAGATAAATTGTGAAAATCTTCCTGTGATATGCAGATTTTTGAAAAATTACCCCTGGATTATAGAAGTATTAATAAATGTATAGAATATCATTTTCTATGGACTTTTAAATCAGAGTATGTTTCTTTGGATAGCTGCTGGAGTAGTCATTCCAGTGTGAAAATATCAGTAAGGGAAATATCTGGAAAGTGAAATAATAGGGGACAGGTCCAAGTAAGATTTATCATCCAACTCATGGAATCTTAGCAGGGGTCCAAACCACTCCGTGTGTGTGTGAATCCTGTCATATTGGTAGTCCTCGACTTACAACAGTTCGTTTAGTGGCCGTTCAAAATTACAACAGCACTGAAAAAAGTGACTTATGGCCGTTTTTCAGAGTTATCTTTCCAGCATGCCCATGGTCATGTGATCAAAATTCAAATGCTTAGTAACTGGTTCATATTTACGACAGTTGCTGTGTCCAATGGGATCCCCTTTTGTGACCTTATGACAAGCCAAGTCAATGGGCAAGCCAGATTCTCCATAAAGGTGGGACCAGCAATCAGGAATGGGTTAACTCCATCTGTTATCTGATAGGACTGAGTCTGCAAGCTGTTAAGCTCCTCCTCTTCCTCTTGCTTTCCAGCTTTTCGACTCAGTCTGACTTGGGCAGACGTATTTTTGCTGAGCTGACCCATTCTGATTTCCTTATACCATCAGGACCTGCTCCCATTTAGTTGGTTGAGCCTTCCTTTGCCAGCGTGAAGGTTGATACTGCCTGATCCTGCTGAGAGCTGCTTGGCGGCAGGACCCGCGCTGGGGGCTCCCAGCTTCCTGGTTGAGCCCTCTGCCATTCCAGTGTGAAGGGCTACACTGCCTGACCCCGCTGAAAGCCACTATGCAGACAGCTCCCAGCTCTGCTGGTCAAGCTCTCTGCTAGTTCAGCGTGAACGGTGGTTCAGCTGGAGCCCACTGAAGGCTGTTTGGCGGCACGGATCTGTCGGCTGGCAGATCGTCAGGGAGGTGTTCCTGGGCATTACCTACATGCCTGGCCCTGAACGGGGGGAGGCTTCCAACCCCCCTCCTTGTCCACAGATTGGAGTCGGTGGCGGCGCTTACGGGCTTATCTCCGTGGTGTTAGCCCGCCACAGGCGGCGTGGCTCCTTTGTTTTACTAATTTATCAACTACAGTGATTCACTTAACAAACATGGCAAAAAAAAGTCGTAAAATGGGGCAAAATTCATTTAACAAATGCCTCACTTAACGATAGAAATTTTGGGCTCAGTTGTGATCATAAATTGAGGACTACCTGCACTTTTACAGAAAAGATATATTCAGAAGCAAGGCAAAAAAGCTGCATGATAGCCTTTGGTTGGTAATGGTATAAACTGACATCTGAGAAAGCATCATTTATTTACATCCTCTGCAGCTCAATTTTAGTGAACACGTTTACAAAATGATTGCCATTGAGAAAGGAGCGCAGCATTTCAATCCCTCCCCTGCCCCTTTATTCTAGGAATGTTTTAAGTGAGACAGAATTGAGTATCCAGGGAGTATCTGCAAGAAGTCCACAGACATCACTTACACACACACACACACACACACACACACACACACACACACACTAAAAGTTTCAACAACATAGTAAGAATTAGTACAAAGTAAAGTAAGATTGATAAAGAAGAAAGGGAAAGGGAGAAATAAAAGAAAAGCTAAAAGTACAGAAAAGAAAAAAATAGAAAAAAGAACATAGCAAGAAGTTTTTTTTGTTTTGTTTTGTTTTTACCTATAAAGCCCTTCATGGCATGGGCCCGGGGTACTTGCAGGACCACCTCCTACTGGCCTCCCACCGCCCAGTGCGCTCACATAGGATTGCCCTCCTCCGGGTGCCATCGGCCAGACAATGTCGGCTGGTGGCGCCCAGGATAAGGGCATTCTCTGTGGTTGCACCGACCCTCTGGAATGAGTTACCCACTGGACTCCGGACGGCCCCCGACCTCTGCACTTTCCGTGACAACCTGAAGACATGGCTTTTTCAGCAAATTCCCTGATCTGCCGGGAGTTTTAATTGCTTGGGGATTTTAAATTGGATTATTTTAATATCATTTTATTGTCGTGTAGTTTTATTTTGTGAGCCGCCCCGAGTCCTACGGGAGAAGGGCGGCATATAAATACGATAAATAAATAAATAAATAAATAAATAAATATAAAGAAATGGCTTCTCATCTTCTTCACAGCAGTCATAAGTACAATTATACTTCAACCTCTCTCTCTAGGGTTACATCATGCCTCTTCTTTCTATAATCTATCAGTGTAATCAAAACCATAAATCACAAGTTCATTTTTTCTTTGTGACAGAAAAAGTCTAGAAGAGGTTTCTTGTCACTAATAAGTGTACTGTCTTTGTCTCTAATCAAACACTTTATTAGATAATTTAGCCATCTTAGCAAGTTCTGTCATCTTTGCTATCCTTTTCTCTATTGTAGAAATGTTTTAGTATTTTTAATTGTAATGTATTTTTTTCTGTTTGAATTGTAAGATGCCCAGAGTCATTGATTCAGATGGATGACTATAGAAATTGAATAAATAAATAAATAAATAAATATGTAAATAAAAAGTGTTCCATAGCTCATTTTCAACAGTCTCTCTTCTAAGTCCTGAGACGAAATGTTCTGATTTCAGTTGAACATTCATCTTTAAAATCCTATGAGTCACTATATGTATTTGAGTCTGTTTTCTGGTGTTTTTATATGCCCATCAAGCATGATAAAATTATCCTTTCATTGTTTCCAACATAAATTTGAAGTACCTTTATATATTCTAGTTACATTTTGCTATACCTACAATATATCATTTTATCAAAGTTTTCTTTAAGATTATGACATAATGTAAATTTCAATCTTTTTATATTTTCCCACTGTTCTATCAGTATATTATGTCCAAGATTCTTAGCCCATTTTATCATTTAATCTTTCACTTGTCCTTCTTCAATTTTTTTTAAAAAATTACATTTTAGCAATTACATGTTCATCATTTGTATACATTTCATTTCAAATTCTTACATTGTTTAATAGCACAAATCCTTTTATTACTTTAAAATTTTCTGGTAAATGTAAGCAAGAAAACCATTGTCAGCTAAGTCTTCTTGCCTCCTTGTTCTCTTTATTTTATTTAAAATCCCCCTTGGTAATATTCTAGTATCCCATGATATTTTAACTATTCACCTATGCCTATTATTTCTTACCTATAAAATGCTTCATGTGCTAAGAGTCATAAAGGTGTTTTGGGGCATAGCTTGGATTTTTATCTATTCCGTATTCTCAATATGGCATGCCTAACATAATGAAATCTACATTGACTTTATTATACCACAAGTATTCATGTCATCCAAATCTCAGGACATCTCCTTCTAACTCTAAAAGTCATCCAAACCAAAAACATGCTAAAAATGTTATCCAGTCCTTCTCTTTCCTTTGTATTTGTAATACCTTATATTTAAGTCATGATTTTTTCCCCTTGCTAAACAAACTTATATATATCTTTTTGCCATTTTTAAATGGTACATCCATTTTAAAAACAAGTATCATCCAAAACAAAAACAAAATTCTAGGCAAAACATTCAATTTTTAAAAACTTTTTTCTTAATTTTAAAACCAGTTTTCTCTATCAGTTCTATTTGAACATTTGTTTTCTTAATTGTTGTTAACATCTTGATCTTCTGATTATTCATCTTAATACCTACTAGCATAACAAATCTTTTAATTTCCCATTAATTTTTCTATTTTCTTTAGTGAATCTACCAAAACTAGCACAAATCATTAGCAAATACCATCAACTTAGAAGTTTCTACTTTATTCTGTACTCCCATATTTCTCTTTGCCTTGTCTCTTTTTATATCTTTTTATATCTCATAGGATTTTGCTAGTTCTCCATTAACAGTTTTGTATGCTTTCTTAAATAGATCAAATTTAAAAAAATTCCAGAACTCCTATCTTCCAAAAGGTATTCCAAAATTTTAAACAAGAATGGCCATTTCAAATTGTCAAAAGACTTCTCTGCATTTAAGAAAAACAGTGCAGCTTGTTTCACTTTGTCTACTTCTGAAGTAAGGCAACTTCAATTGCACACATTCAATTAAATTGGATGAACATTATATTTTAAATACTTTATTTTGCAATTATTTTAACCACTGATAAATACTAGTATAGACAATTACTTCAAGCTATGATTCGTTTTTTTATCCTGGAGTAAGTATTTATGTAATACTGGTACAGTTATCTTAAAAGAATATATTGATTATCACAATTCAATGAGATAGAAGAGGATTGGTCTACAAGACTGATTAAAGTAAGACAGTCCTGCAGATTGAAAGTAACAATTAGTTCTCTCTCCTAATGGTGCAATTTATTAGAAAATGGTCAATGGCCTAAAATCTTCAAGAACTAACTGACTAGAGAAATGTATGTGCAATCTGTTTGGCAATTTTATTTTTGTTAATACTCATCTTCACTTGACCAGTTCACTGAATAGGATCTACGATAACAGATATTACAAAACACAAAATCTCAGATGTTTACAGATGTCTTCTTGTGTGTTTGAAGAAGTTTCTAGAGGGTTAGTCTAGCTTGAGAGGTCATTTTATAAGATACATCAGTAGTTTCATTTTTTGAAGCGTGTTATTTCAAAGATTATACAAAGAATCTAATGTCTTTGCATAATATGTTACCTTATTTAGAAAACCTAAAATTGTTCATTTTTACAGATCACTATTTGAGGTTGGATCTACTGGAATCTGCTGTGTCCCCTTCTGAAGCTGACATTTTAGTAGCTAGGTAAGTAGAAATTGTCAATAATTTATTTCAAAGATCAGAATTTATCAGTTGGCAGAGTATAGACATGTTATCTTACATCTGTCTAAATTCCATCTGGATGATGAAAGGACCACTTATTTGCAAACTCCACAGAGATTGAAAGAATATCTGCACCTTTGGCTTTTGCATTTAGCTCAACATGCAATTTATTGTACTTAAATATGGACAGGAACCAACATGAAAATCTAATATTTATCTTTTCTTCCAGGCGGCTGTCTAAACTGGTAGATCATACAGCTCAACGTTTGGAATCTGCTCCTAGCTCCTCACTTATATCAAACGATGCTAACCAAAACACAGAGCATTCAGAATCAGCAAATCTTGAAATACCACAGCCACAAATAAGGAGGGCCCCAACTGGAAAAGTGCCAAAGTGGCTGAAGCTGCCAGGTACCACCTTACATGTAATGGGAAGATACATACTTTTTTTCCTCCAAAAAGAGATCCAAATCTGTCTTCACACCCATAACTCCTCCACTTTGTGTGAAGTTATTCCCAACTGTTGACCCTCATTGAGTCCAAACTGATTCCCCCTCCCCTCTTCACCCATGGTCACTTTAGAATGTGAGAATGTATATGATCCATGTTCTTCAATATGCTAATATACTATCTGGATTTTAGTTTGAAAATCTATTTCTTTGGAAAAGTTCATGAAAGCTTCACTGTGCAAACTCATTTGCTATTGTTGCCTTATGTTTGCATTTCAGGTGGGAAGAGATGAAGAAGTGGTAATACCTGCTGCTGAAAGATGCTTTGCTTGGTTGAGAAGCAACATTGAATTACCATTTTCTGCTTCTAATAACAAGCTAAAATATATGACCTACAAATGATTTTTCAGAATAAAGTTGAATGCTGTTTCCATTTGCCAATTCTGTTAAATTGGAAATGAATGTTGCCTGCGTTCTGCAACATCATTGACCTATACAATGCATATTTGGATGGTGTAAAGCAAGAGAAAGCACAGGTTTTCTGTGACTTCAGATCACATAAATGGAGTAGGTACAGAAATTCAGGCAAAATCATTTGCCATCTTTGTGTGGATGCTGAGAATTTCAAGAACATGGTACTGAATGAGAAACTATAGCGGGTGGTAATTGTGAAGCAACTTTGGCTGATTTTGAAAGTGTTAAATAGAGTCAGACCTGGGTCATGCTTGGATGGAAGACCATAAGACTCTCAAGTCTATAGACCCTGGAAAAGGAGAGAAAACAAATAATTTCTGTACTGTTGGTAAGAAAATTGTATGGGAATATCAAGTACTGTCAAGCTGTACATGGCGGGCAAACTCAAGAAATAGGATTTCAGAAAGGCATCTTTAGTGCTAATCACAAAAAACATAATCTTTAAAATAGTCAAGGTTGGTCTTAGAGTTAAACAAGTCACTTAAGATGGGGTCTCTGAAATACTTCCTTCTCATAACTGCCGCCATCTTGGTACACTGTCTCTTCTCATGGCCAGTGATTTCTTCCTCTGTCTGGCTCCCACAGTTTCTGCCAGGTACATTCCAGGAGTCAAGTTGGATTTGAAGATCTTTCCATGAAGGAACATTCTTTAAGGAAATCGATGAACAGATCTATTGGGGACTGCTAGGATGTAGAAATGGTACTTAAAATGAATGGACCAGAGAAGCTTTAACCGTATAAGATTCTCTGCTTAATGAGCACAATCTGCTTCCTAAATATTTTAGAAAAAAAATCAGAGGATTGATTCAAGTAAACAAGGGATACGTATGATTCTGTTTGATAATTTCAGTACCTAGGATAGACAGCTAATTACAGTAAAGCCCTCAGTTTAAATGAGGGGAAAGGGATATCTGTTAAAGTAGAAAGTTGATTAAACCCAAATGAATTTCAGGTTTTATTTATTTATATCCTGCCTTTATTATTTTTATAAATAAATCAAGGCCACAAACACACACAATACTATTTTCTCCTCCTAAATTCCCCACAACAACCCTGTGAGATGAGTTGGGCTAAGAGAGAGTGACTGGCCCAAGCTCACCCAGCTGGCTTTTTTTTTCTCATGCAGGACTAGAATTCACGTTATCCTAGCTTCTAGCCTGATGCCTTAACTATTATGATTAGGTGCATAAAGTGGAAATGAGATTTTATTCATATGCAGCATAAAGTAGACAGACAAACTCTGTCATGCTAAGCACAGTCTATTATATTAAGGCTTTACTATATTCCTTGCTTAAAATGTAAAAATGTAGATATTATTACAACAATATAAAGCTATATTTGCTGTAGAAATGCTTAGAGGGTTTTTTCCTTTCCTTATTAGATCCTCAATTTATTGTTCCTTTCTTTATTTTGTGCAGGGTTTTTAAATATTGTAAAAATTAATAGAGAAGGAGATGTTGCTCTTCGATTTGGTAATATCTTAGTTCGGTTGATCTAATAATGGTTTAGGGATTTCAGGTCTAACCTCTGTATACATTTGGTCTCCTGAATCATTCTTTCTGTTAATGAAAAGCAAGATACATTTGCTGACTAGGAGCACCCAGGTAGTAAATAATGTAAGACTTATTGGTCATATACAGGCAATCTGCTTTAAACTACAAGGCATATTTACAGTAGATAGATAGATAGATAGATTAGATAGATAGATAGATAGATGATAGATAGATAGATAGATAGATAGATAGATAGATAGATGATAGATAGATAGATAGATAGATAGATAGATAGATAGATAGATAGATCTCTACTGTATACAGCAGTACTGAATCAGGTGAATATTCTTCTTTAACCCTTGGCTGAATTCAAAACGTAACTCCTATAAAAGTTAAGCCCTGAATAGCTCCTTGGGGAGAGGCGGGGGAGGGGGGGTTGTACATATAATGCAAAACAAAATCTCCTACAGAAAGCTCTCAATTATAACATAGATAATGCTATTCAGTTAGAATTCTTTGCAGCCTTAGAAATAGCATTTAAAACCACAGGATATGCCATAGAGAGTCAAGAAAACATAAGGGAGACAATCAGACCACAGACCACAAGAACACAGAATCACAACCATCTCAAAGCCAAAGACAGAGCAGGCCTCAAAAACCTAAAGAAGGACCAAACTATCATCCTTCTCCCAGCAGATAAAGGCCAAACCATAGTTATCATGTACAGATCACAATACATACAAAAAGCCAAAGAATTAATAGAAGACAAAGAAGCCTACATCCCAGTAAACACCAAACCAATGCAGAAACTAGACAACCAGATCAAGAGAATTCTTAACAAAATAACTAGGAAAAGTCAAATAACAAAAAAGGAACAGTCGGAGATGAAAAGATGTGGACTCACCCTCCCACACTTCTATCAACACCTAAAAACATACAAGCCCAACATACCTCTTTGTTCAATTGCATTGTTAGAAGGGAACCCAACATAGAACATAGCTAAAGGACTTACAAGAAACCTTGAACATCTCACAGAGGGGTCCAAATATTCCATTAAGTGCTTTCAGAAAAATCAGACGCCTAATAATAGAAGAAAAGATCATTGTTTCATTCAATGTTTACATCCATAGACCCAGATCTAGTGAAAGAATCCATGGCAGCAGTACTACACAAGATAGCCTATATAACCAAATACACTAACTTCAAAATACTCATAATTGTGGACCTCATCAATCTCTGTCTCATCAAACTCTGACTCAGTTTCAGTTTGATGGACACATACAGCAATAAATCAGAGAAGCACCCATAGGATCACCAATCTCAGAGCCCACAGTGCAGACTGTAATACAGTACGTAGAAACCATAGCACTCCCATGCATACCACCAAAAATATGGATCTGATTGTGGAAGACACTTTTGCCCTATTAAAAAAGAAAACAACTCGAGAAAACACATGAAACAATAGACTACATCTTCAAAGGAATAAACTGCACAAGGGAAGAAGAAAACAACAAACTGTCCTTCCTGGATATCCTCATCAAAAGAGAAATGGCAGCAAATTAGAAACATACGTCTATCAAAAAACCACCCACACTAACCAAGTGCTCCACTACCAAAGTAACAACCCAAACTTCCACAAGAGGAACTGTGTAAGAACATAATTCTGGCAAGCACAAATGTACTGCAACAACTCGGAACACTAGAAAAAAGAAAATAGACTGCCTAGACCAGGGATGTCAAACTGGTGGCCCGTGGGCCAGATGCATCACGTGCAGGCCACGCCCATCCCAGCTCCGTGAAGGGGACATTGCAAAAGTCACATAATGGCAACGTGACATGAGTTTGACACCCATGGTCTAGACAATATCTTCCGACAAAATGGAAAATCATATAGCTTTATCAGAAGGTGCATGACCACTCAACCCCTCATTGCAATCAACATAAGCTATGAAAATGGTAGTACTGCTGTACATTAAAAACATATCAGAAACAACTAAAGACTATTATACCACGTGGCATCACCATAACTCACAAACCAATTAAAACCATCCAAAATAAACCAAAAGATCCAGTAACCCAAGAAGAAAAACTGAGTCATTTACAACATATAGTGTAAAGACTGCAACAGACATTATATAGGGCAGACAGACATAAAATTAGCAGACCACATCCATGAATACCAACTAGCAGTCAGAAGACAGGATGAAAACTTTATTTCACAACATAGTTTCAAGTTAATCAGGAAACTATCAAGGAGAAAACAATGTTCCAACTGACTCTGACAGGGAAAATCCTGTATATAAATACTAATGGGCACCAAACTCCCCTCCCTTCTAGTACTGAAAATGTTTTGTTTTGTAGTCGAATAACAAAATGTCTGCAAGGAATTAACCAAGCTCATTGAGCACCAAGAACTCCATAAAACACTTCCCTTGAACAAAATGGCTCCATGTCAAATTTTAATGCCCCATATTCCTAGGAGAACATTTAAAATATTGAGTGTTCTGCCAAAAAAAGTAGTAGGTATTTTATAAAAAGTATTTTATGCCATAAAGCCATAAAAGCAGGTAAAATGGGGAAGCCATACTACTACAGTATAATAGTTTGTGAGTTCTTTATAGCTAATGCTATATTTACAGTAGTGGCCAAAATGGTGGAAACCTTTTGGGGAAAGTGTATTTTTGAGGTTTGATGGCTAATAACACCACTTGTTTTTTTGGAGTTTCAAGATAATCATATTCCACTGCTGGAATAGCCTGGGAATAGCCCAGACCTTAACCCAATTGAAAATCTATGGAGCCGACTAAAGAAACTTGTTAGTCAGAAGCGACCCAGCAATAAAATCCAGTCAATAGAAGCAATCATTTAATCTTGATTTCACATTATAACAGCTGCAGAACTAAAAGACTTCCATGGGAAGACGTTGTAAGGCCGTAATTCATGCTAAAGGTTACCCACGTAAGTATTAACTGATGTGATAATTTTTGTACATCTCGTTTTTTCTACTTGTTTCACTTTTCTTCTTTATACTGTAACTGCAATACTCTAATAGCAAATCCTTCATAAAAGTTATTGCATTACATTCTTGATTAAATTATCTTTCCATTGATATATAATTTTATGGTACTACTCAGGGGTGAAATCCAGCAGGTTCTGGAGAACCAGTAGCGAAAATTTTGAGCAGTTCAGAGAACCAGCAGCGGAAATTTTGAGTAGTTTGGGGAACCGGCAAATACCACCTCTGGCTGGCCCCGGAGTGGGGTGGGAATGGAGATTTTGCAATATTCTTCCCCCAGGAGTGGGGAAGGAATGGGGATTTTGCAGTATCCTTCCCCTGCCATGCCCACCAAGCCACACCCACAGAACCGGTAGTAAAAAAATTTGGATTTCACCACTGGTACTACTCCCAAAAAAAAAAAAAAGTGGTGTTATTAGCTAGTTTTAGAAAAAACATTTTTCCCAAA